TCGTTTTGTCAAATTCAGCACATGTTTTAGCTTGATTAGTAGAGTTAAGAGTTGCTTGTAGAGGATTTTGTGGAGGGAGCACATGATTGCTTGTGTTTTGGTTTGGTTTATTTTTTGTGTTTGAGGAGTTCCTGCTGGTTGATCGGTTGAGTATAGATTCTTCAATTAGTTACTTTTTGAAGTCTTTCTTTTTGTACGACTGTGATACTATAATCATGATGGAATTTTTTTTTTTCATTTCAATAACATGAATTTGGTATGTTGGATTTAGTTGAGAAGAGAGTAGGTGTGAGATAGAGACGATGCTCAGAAGCTCTTTTGAAAGTCAGAAGATTGTAAATAGAATGGGAAACGCGGCACGCAGGTTTAGTTCTTTTCGATGTCTTATTTCACTAAAAGAGTTTGCTTATATTTTTGCTTTTATTATTTCTTTTTGGGAAAAAATTTTGCCGGGATTTTCTATGTGGTTGGTTTGATATTGTTTCTTGTTGGCAGTTGGGCTAGTAGAAAACCAAATGAGAGTATGAGGCTTATAGTAACAACATTTGTGGGAGTAGTTTTTGGCTTCTTGATAGGAGTATCTTTTCCGACATTGTCACTAACTAAGGTATTTAGAACTTTTGATTTCTTTTATTTTACTCTTTCATAATTTCCTTTTTGTTTACGTGTATATTCCTGTTATTGCAATTGTACGACTAATTTTAGCCTGATGAGTAACATTATACATTTTTTCTGAATTTGGCAGTTGAATCTCCCGTCTAGCCTTCTTCCTACTTTGGATCTTTCCTATAATGAGGACCATAGATCAGGCCTTTCAACCCAAGCCGTTTTGAATGCATTGAATTTGAAGAATGATAAAAGCTCAGCTCGCAATGGGAGTTTGAATGATACATCAAAGGTATGGTATCTTTCTTTACATGATGTCCAGGTAACAGGTTTTACGTGACTTGAATATTTTCATAGCAATGGCCCTACTGCTATTTCAGAGTTTTGTCTCTGGTGAGCTTTCTAAATGCTTGGTTGGGGTTTACACTTAGTTGAGTTTAGTATTGATAATTGCATCGGAGATTCTTGCTCTGTTTTACAACAGAATAGTTTCTTGGGGTTGGATAGAAACTTACAAACTGCTTGCTTTGAGTCCCCTGTAAACCCTGCTGCTCTGGAAATGCTATCTTAACTGCACAAAAGTAGCAATTGCCTTTTTCTTTTCCCTTAAATTCTTCCCTGAGAGCATATCTTTACCAGCTAATTTTATGATTGTGCCACAGCTTATACATGGTTGGCATGCACAACAGGAAGATGGTAGGCACATGAAAGAAGTCAAAATAGGATAGAGTAGAAATTTAAATTGAAGTTTCTTATAATAGTAAAGATTTATTTTCTGAAATAAGAGATCATTTTTTAATTACAGCACCTGTCTTTCCACCACCACCATAGATGACAAACTAACCTTGGAAGAAAATATACCATGGTAGGGATCAGATGTGCTGAAATAATTTGTGGAGGTACTATGGTGACTTATGCTTTGAGAAGTTGCAATGCCCTTACTGTGTCCGGGATTTTGAAAATTCCTTTAATCTCTAGTACCAGCGACATCTCCAGGAGCTTGATCTTTTAACTTCTCCAACTGGAAAATAAGAATCATACACTGCCCTGCCTATCTTGCCAATATTAATTTGATAACTCTTGCTTTTAGTGTTTTAAATTTGTTTGTAAATTCGTTGCTGCATGCTTGGTCTGTTTTATTATCAAGTTTGGATAACTTTTGTCATCCTTAAATAATGTGTCTTATTTTACAAATACTGAAGAAATTCTTTTAGTACAAAGTTCAGAATTTTTTGAACCACTATTTTGAGCTTCTTTTCTAACTCTGCCACAGATTTGGGTCCCTACAAATCCTCGAGGTGCAGAAAGACTACCACCAAAAATTGTTGCAGCTGAGTCAGATTTCTACTTGCACAGATTGTGGGGTAATCCTAATGAGGTATGTAAAAATCACTTGCATATGCAACGTAATGTTTATTTTCACTCTATTCTTTGGGTGCGAATTCAGAGAAGGCACCAATGGAGATGTCTTGATGTTTCTCAATATTATTGTTTTGCTGGCAATGACATATATCTGATAAAATGGGCATATCCAGGATTTGACGAGCAAACCAAAGTATCTTGTTACCTTCACTGTTGGTTACAACCAGAAAAATAATATTGATGCAGCAGTTAAAAAGGTTAGTGTCCCTTCATCCTCTCCTTGCCTTTTTTCTCCGTCTTTTTGTGCTTGTGACACTAAATATCTGTCTCAAACAGTTCTCGGAGAACTTTACAATTGTTCTATTTCATTATGATGGACGAACTACTGAATGGGATGAGTTTGAATGGTCAAAAAGGGCTATTCATGTGAGTGTTCGGAAGCAGACTAAATGGTGAATATTACTACTTTCCAAAATTTTAAAGTCATGACTTTAATTTCAGATTTTACTTGTAGGCTTGAATACGTGTGAGTATTTTCTATGTTTAAAATCTCGTTTTCTGGGATTTTGTCCTAGGTGGTATGCAAAGCGGTTTTTGCATCCTGACATTGTGGCGGCATATGACTACATATTTATCTGGGATGAAGACCTGGGTGTTGAGCATTTCAATGCAGAAGAGTGAGTGTCGGATGCAACATAACTTTTCTATTGATAGTCCAGTTGCCGTCTACTCAACTTTGTTATTTCCTATTTATTTAATTTTCAGATACATAAAACTAGTGAGGAAGCATGGTTTGGAGATTTCACAGCCCGGTTTGGAACCTAACAAAGGGTTGACTTGGCAGATGACAAAGAGAAGAGGTGATAGTGAAGTCCACAAGTAAGAATGAAGGATTGGATGATTGTCCCATATTCTTATAATATAGATAGTTTTATCAAATGATGAATTAACATTTGATTTCATTTTTGCTGAATTCATAAGAGTGACAGAGGAAAAACCAGGCTGGTGCTCTGACCCACATCTACCTCCCTGTGCAGGGTATGGCAGGCATTGAATTTTCGTATGGTATATACTTTGACTCTCCACTCCACTATTTCCTAATCGGATAAATTATTGCATGCAGATTTGTTGAGATCATGGCTCCGGTATTTTCTAGAGATGCTTGGCGGTGTGTTTGGTATATGATTCAGGTATTGAGGGTTGTCTTCCCTTTTTCATTTAATTCTTAACTAGTCAACAATTATCTCATTAGCCAGTTGGTTATTATTACGATTTTATTAATTTTCTTTGTAAATTGTAGAATGACTTAGTCCACGGGTGGGGTCTTGATTTTGCCCTCAGAAAGTGTGTTGAGGTTGGTGAACTGACTTGTATTGTTCTCTCTGGAGGCATGCTGCTTCTAAAGTTTGAATTAAGCTTGTTATTAATATTATTGAACTTTCACTTGAAAACAGCCTGCCCATGAGAAGATAGGGGTTGTAGATTCACAGTGGATTGTTCATCAAACGGTTCCATCACTTGGGAGCCAGGTAATCTGGCTACCTCCAATCCCTCCATTTGTTTTCAAATGTTAAATGTTTACTGTGCTGAAATACAGAACTTGTTATTTTTAACTTTGGATAGGGAGAGACACAAAACGGAAAGGCACCATGGCAAGGGGTATGTAAAAAAAACCTTTCTTAAATAGTTGTCTTTATTATTATTATTATTATTATTATTATTATTGTAATGCAAGTGGGCATGTTGGTTTTATTGGTATTGAAAAATGAAAATTGTGTCTCATATATAAATTGATGGCAGGTAAGGGAGAGATGTAGAAAAGAATGGACAATGTTTCAAAGTCGGATGACAATTGCTGAAAATACTTACTTTAAGGCTCTGGGAATTGATCCTAACAATTCCACTGCTCATTAGGAAACATCCGTCTCATCAATCCATGTACATGTTGACTGTACACAACCCCATCGTTATAGAGTGTTACACAGTATATTTTGTAGAATTCTAATATCATTATTAGAATGTAACATTATTCAATTAAATAATTCATTAGTTTCATATTCACAAAAATAGATGTCCAGTTTCCAATAGTTGAATGGTTGTTTACAATGATGTAAAAATGGTAGAGGGATTAATATCACATGGGCTGGGACCAAAATTCTGTCAGCCTAAATTACATTTTCAGGACAACTGCATCCAGAGAATTCCTGCTACAACTGGTGTCCCCTGAGATACAATTCCGAATCTACTACACATCACATCACAAATCAGATGTTTCAGGAAAAAAGTTTTTTCTACAGATAATTCATTATTTACAGTGCCTTTCTCATGTCACTCAACCTCAGGAGAAAACAAAAATTATGCCTAAAAATTTATATGGCAGGCTGCCAGTTTGAGGAAACGTGATGTTCTGCCGACTACAGATATAGAAAAAACAGGGCAGAGAAAATCGAATTAAATTTGGTTGGTGTCAGGGTCTCTGATGTCTTAGTTTTGAACTGTTAGATTTGATCAGTATATAAATTCTACTTTGGGATTATGAACAAAATTGAAGGCTAAAACGCAGAATGAACAAATATCATACGCGGTTCCAGTAATCAAGAAACTTCTTGAGTTTGGACTGAAACTGAAAGGTCACTGTCCATTACACTGCCACAAGGCACCACCTCATTAGCCAACACGGACACGTGGTTCCAGCAAGTTACCCTTCCTGTTTCAGTGAAAAGCCAGCACAACCAGTGTTTTTTCACTTCATTATCAATCACAATCTTTACACGTGTATCCACTGACCCCACCATGGTTAGCCCATTTAACTAGAGTTAACCTAGCCCCTGTATTTATCATTCAACTCCAAGTCGGGTTCTGTTGGTGAAATCTTCTTTCAGACTGTTTTGTGGAAGTAAATTGCTTGCTTCCTTCTTTGTTTTCTCCTTCTCTGTATCCATACCCACCCACCTCTTCCAACAAATTTAGTAAAGATTTNATGATGTGTATATAAATACGTATTCCTAAAACCCAACAGCCAACAGCACTATTAATCCTCAATCACCGAGTCACCGTCATCGCCAACGTCGTCGTTTTCACTCTCAAATAAACATTTTCCTTCTGTAATTGAACTCAGTCCGAGTCGCAAGAAAAACAAAAATTTCTGTCTACTGGCAAAGCCTCGCCGGTAAGTTTCATTATTTACTATTCCGCTTCATAAATTGTGCCTTTAAACATTATTGTGATATTTTTACATTGAAAATCGAAGCATGTAAGGACTCGTTTGGTTTTCTTATAACTTGTGGGTTTCAGGTTTTTCGTTTTTCCCCTAAAAATCGTATTAAATCCTCGCTGTTTCGCTTTTATTTTATTCTTTTTTATCTTGATTCTCACTATTTGCATATTTCTATTCATTATTATGGCATATTACATGTGGGTATCTCTTGTTTCACCGCTTTGAAATTTGAAGGATATAATTTTATTTTTATGGATTTTCTGCTTATCATTTTCTTTTGTGGATTTTGATTAATGTTTTCAACTTTCATGAGTAGTGGATTCTATTTATGCTTTTATCGAATTAGTTGAATATTCATTTTCAAGTTAGCGACTTTTTTATTATTTTAGGAGAGCAGAAATTGATTATTTTTGGTTGTTACATACTAGATTTGGAGATTGAAGCTGATTCAGTAGGTGGGCAAAAACTTTTAAGTTGAAGAATGCTTCAAATTAGGCTGAGGAAGATCCCATCATCAGATGGTGGTGGAGCAGTGAAGCCTTTGCCCGTGGAGACGGTGACAGTTGCGTGCCCAGACCATCTTGTTCTTGCTGATCTTCCTGTAGCTAAGGGCATTGGTGCAGCAACTGCAGCTTCACTTGTCAAGACTGTGGGTCGCAGGTCCAGACGCCAGCTTGGCGAGCGAGTCCATTTTTGTGTTCGTTGCGATTTCCCAATTGCTATCTATGGGCGCTTGGTAGGTTCTTATAATCACTGCTTAAATCTGTTAGTTGCTTTTTAGAAACTGTGAAGTGTTTATTTAAAATTAAACAAGGGCAAGGGAGTAAGTGAATAGTGATTTTTCTCTATAAATTGACAATGCAACCTTGGTTGTGATGGTCAATTGTGTCCTTTGATTAAGGTTGTGAAAGGAAAGGATTACTAAACTGAAAATGGCAAGCGGAATTAAAATGCTTAGTGCTTATTTGTAACTTCTGTGGGAGGATTTGTACAAAGTTTAGTATCTTGTCAGGCTAAGTTGTAATGCATATAAGCTTGAACAGGGGATGCTTCACTTACGGTTTTGAAAACTTCCAAGTTAACTCGTCTTTTGTATGATTGGGTCTGTCTATATCTTTTGTCATTCACTTTAGCTTCCCGTAACTTGTACTGTGAACAATGTTTTGGTAGGTCTAAATGAGATTTTCTCTATGCTAACAAGTTTATATCCTTGCAGAATCCTTGTGAGCATGTCTTCTGTCTGGATTGTGCCAGGAGTGATTCAATTTGCTATCTGTAAGGAGCCTACCTGATATTGTCTCAAGACATTTTTTGTGCTTCTGCAATGTTTGTTGATGCTCTTCTTTTACATGCTTCCTCACAATAATTCAAGGAACTCTACCGTAACCAAGTGCTAATCCTATCAAAAAATGATCCTTTTTTGTTTAAAAGGGGCCTTGTTTGGGGAAATTTTACTAGGTTTGATGCATGTACTAGTGTATAGGTTGAATTTTTGGAGCATATGAGATTTCACATGAACTCAAATTTACACTCCCGCCTTAGCCCAAAATGAGATTGAATTCCTATGATTGGGAAGTCTTCAATCCCACTTGTTGCACATGATTATGTGACCGGCCTGTTTGCAGGGAACTTTTGCAGCTAAGTTCTTTAGGCAGTAATCAGGGATAAATGTGGTGCATTGCCTTTGGGTTTAATATTGGTCGGTGTAGCCTAAAAAAGAAAGCTTTGCTTTAAACAGGAATAAGACTTATGTATAAATTTTATCTTGGTTCCTTCATATTTCCTTGTAGTATCTCATAAACAAGATAGAACCTTATTATCATTGCCATCAGTTGTTAAGAGACTTAAACTATAAGGTTGAATTGGGTACTTGAAAATGAAAGCAAACCATGTAGGGCAGCCACTTTACCATGCATAGATATCTGTAATGATTTATACAACGTTTCTACCACTGAACCACTTTCAAACTGTTAAATGGTTGAAGAGTGCACTAAGTAGTTTCTCACGTTTTGTTGCATGTAGTTGTGATGACCGTATACAAAAGATTCAGACAATCAAGATGATGGAGGGCATCTTCATCTGTGCAGCCCCTCACTGCCTCAAGTCTTTCCTGAAGAAGACTGATTTTGAGTCTCATATTCACGAGAGCCATTGTGACCTTCTACAGCCCAGTGCAGAGAAAGAAGATGGTAATGAATCTGAGAGTCTGAGTGCCAAACAACCTACAGTTTCAGATTCCTCTGTCCGAGCTCCACCAAGGCAAGTCATTTCTCCTGGTTCTAATTCCCAGCTCACTGATCGGGAAGACAAAGCCCGACGGCAGCAGTCTCGAGAGCAACCACCACCAAGGGCTGTCATGCCACCAAAGCCACCAGTTTTTGGGCAAGTTCAAAATTACCAATCGGAGGCCCAATCTGACACTAACCTTCCCCCAGGCTTTGAGAGGCCTGGCCCCCATAATCGCTTTAACCAGGGCTTTGACACACAAGGCATCCCACAACAAGAATCTAGCCAACAGCAAGGACTTGTATCAGAATCCCAGTTTCCTGAATACCCTCCTGTGCACTCTATGCAACCACCTAATTTTGCTGTCCCTATGAATTCAAATCCCTTGATGACTCCACCATTTGCCGTTCCTCCTTTCCCAACTGAAGGATCTCAACAGTTTTACACTGCCCCCTATGGGATGCCTAGGCCAGACTCAGCACCAGAAGTTGGATCAGAACAGGCATCATTATTGGGTTTCCCACCAGGTCCACCCGGGGGAGTAAATTTTCCAGCAAGTTATCCTCAGCTCTGGAACACTGGTCCCACTGGTGTGCCTTTCGAAGTTCCCTCAGGGGGTCAAGGAGTTCCAGAGGGATTTGGAAACATTTCGGATTCCCAAAGTAAAGCAGCATTTTATCAAGGCTATGCTCAAAATCAGGGTGGTTTGCCCATGATTCCTCCCCTACCAACAGCCAATAAGGGGATGGAAACTCTGCAGGGTAGTAATACAATAGATCCCCGGGATGGCAAGGGTATATTGGCACCGCCACAAATGTCACTTCCACCACCACCACCACCAGGGCCACCACCGCAGTCTCACATGCCACAACATAAACGAGGTAAGTACTATTCTGGTGACATGGTTCGTGATGGTCAGGGTTTTGGATGGCCACATGAGAGTCGAGATAGCTATTCAAATAGCCAAGACTAGAGAAGTTGCCTCTATTATGGGCATTATGGCATGTAATTTTTTTGTGCTGAACTTCTTGTCTTATTCAATTAGCCCACTGGGCCATGTTTCATTCTTTCTCTGAGAGCTTTCTGTTTCTGTTTCTGTTTCTCTTTTCTGGGTCATTTTGGCTTGCATATCTCAACTCAATCGGGGCTAAAATAGCAAAATTTTGAAGACATGTCTTTGTTTGCCTGGGCAGAAATCTCCATACCAAGTTGTCTATAAAATCATATGTTTTCAAGACTTGCATTTTATTTTACTCCTTCGCCTGGGGATGCTAGGTCAAAACTTTTGTAACACCAAACATCCGAAATGAATAGTTTTAAATTTGCCCCATATATATATTTACATTGAATTACATGATTCCTTCTTGCTTGGCTTGCCATAGATAAAAAATTTTACTTATAGGGCCGTTTGGATCCGGGGTTTATAAGATAACAGAGATAATTTTCGTTTATTTTGCAAGATTTTGGTGTTTGGTTTGCAGGTAATAAAATATTACGGTAATCTTTTATTGCCAATAGTGTTTACTGTTGGTAATGTGGAGGGTAATCTTACTACCTTGTTAGGGGGTGTTATTACAACATTACAAGGGTAATCTGATTTTTCTATCCATTTTGCCCTTAATTAAAAATCATTTCGAACACAATTGCCCTCAAATGTCTATTAAATAACAATTAGCCTAATCCCCTTATATTTGAGAAATTAGTTAAAACACCTCAGCTACAAAAAAAGTTTAAAAGTTAACAAAATACCCCTAGCCATCCCAGACCATCGCCGGCCCTGACTCATCACCGCAGGCCATCTGCGTCAGTTGTTGTAATGGTGTATGACCAGCGGGATCTGGCTAGTCATGTTTCGGTAAGGCCTTTTCAGGCCATGGATTTCCCAGAAGCAGCCAAATCTAGTGTTTCTATGGCTATTTCACGACCATAGATCTTTGGCCGTGATATGGCACGACCAAAGATTTGGCCTTTTCACGGCCAGATCTGTGGTCGTTTCACAACCACATCTTTGGCTGTGAAATGGTCATAGATTTGGCTATTTTTTTTGTCATGGATTTGTGATCTATGGCCATTTCCAACTTTGCCGGTGCATGGTTGGCCATATACGGTCAGTCATGCGCCATTCTGTCGACTGTTGACAGTAGTTGATTGCCAGCAATGACTTGGGGTGATTTTACTACAAATTAAAGTTTGATATGGTTGAGGTGTTTTGACAAAATTTCAAATGTAGGGGGTTAAAAAAATGATTTAAAAAATAATAATAAAAAATACTATTATATTAATATTTAAAAGGGAAGACAATTTAGTAATCTATATAACAAATTCACCAATTTTTACTCCCAACCAAACACATGATTAACCAATTTATTTAAACTAATCAAACACATTTTTTAAACATTTCCAGTAATCTTTAAGGTGATTTTTTTTTCCGTTAATATAATATACTCCTATAATAAAACATTATATAATCCAAACGCCCTATATAAATAAGTAGTTTATAATAATTGTATTTTTTAATTCTGTTTATAAACTGTCAAGTGATTGCCTTAATCCAAAAAAAGATTTATCTGAATTTCTATAAGTTTTCCAGAATTTAAGAACTAATTAGCAGTTTTATTAGGATAGCGAGAATTTATACTGTACATTTTCCCTTAGCAGTCTGTATGAAAACAATAATGGAGAGAAAGGGTCAACACCCACCAAAGGTGGTGAACCCAGATATTTTTTCACCATTGAAACCATATCTTAATAACAAGTAGAAGTATTTCAAAGCCAAAACTTTCTCATTGTATGTTTTTCAGATTCCCTCAAAGTGATTAGGGTAGTGTCTCCTATATTTCTTTCAATCAAAAGCTCTCACAGCCTAAAACTCAGGCATCTAAATAAGGATACAAAGACAAGAAACCATTTTCGAATAAATACACTCTACCACACCCTGCAGCTCAATAAGAAAACAATCCAATAATGCCCCTCCATTGACACTCCCCAGCTCCTCACAAAAGAAAACCAATATCAGAAAGGAAGGTAATCACGAAGCAAGGAGATATTAGCTTAGTTTTTTCTTTTCCAAGATCCATTTCCAGACTTTGCTGACAATTTTCACATCAAATTTCACATACAATTCCCGCAGTTTCCTGTAGCTCATAATCACACATTTATCTATACAATCTTCATATCTTTCATATAAAGCTGGAACTGTAAGAACAATAACGAGGCCTGCGATTGAAGAAAGTTAATGAGTAGAATTATAGAAACTAAAATTCAGGTCACAATTAAAAGAACATTCACAAAATTATTAGAAATAAAAAGAACTTTCTCAGAAGGCCAGTTAGTTTTCTGTAATAGTTATTAGAACTGGAACTTACTGGTATAGCCTAATGTAAGAAAATCTGTGAAGCCACCAATGAAGGAAATCAACCACAAGAGTACAGCTACTTTGAAAAACAACCTTGAGTCCTTTCCCAGGGCAATGTCGTGGGAAACTGAGAGCAAATCATTTACATGGGTGCGAACGAAAGCTGCCACTTCATTTACCGTTTCTTCTGAGAGATACAACTCCGGAAGGGGTGGAGCAGGTCTGTTCAGGAGAAAGAAAAGCACAATGGGATTGCAGTTTTCTAACAGATGAGAAAAAAGAAAATTGAACATTGTTTTCATTCTAGTGGTAATAGTTAACACATTCTATAACTTGGAGGACAACAGAAACTAATTGCAGTTTCCAAAGTGGAGTATTCTTGTATGGTGTATGTGTTCATTCTTCCTACTTATTAGACGAGGGAGCAGCAACTACACCAAAGATCAGAGAAAGAAAAAGACTGATGTCTATGAGAATTACATGTTCAGATCAATTCCAAATTTGCAAAGCCAGAAGTCATCAAAGCAAACCAACAATCTTGTAAAAAGAAAAGCTTCTCCAAGATAGCTTTGTTCAAACTTTGTTCTTGAGAGAACTTTGTTCCATCCTAAGAATCAACGAAAAATGCAAAAGTAACTGACTTGTAAGGGTACAATTTAGCTAAATAGTATACCCAGAAGAACATCATAACATATGTATTTTGCATAATTTAACATCCAAGTTCATCTCTATTTCAAAGACTCCCCAATGTGATTACCACTGGCATGAAGAAACCACTTTGTGAGGACTGGCACTGCAATACCATGATGGAGCAAAACAATTTCATATAAAATTCTGAAAAGGAACGGTCAACCTTAAAAATTTCACATCTTCAACTGGGGGATGATGATATCCAATAAAGCTTGAATTCAAGATAAGCTCATAAAATGCAGTTCATAAACAAATGAAATTAGAAAAGCCAATCTCCAAATGCAAAATGGAGGAATTAGAGCAGAGCAAAATAGTATATATAGTATAATTCACAACTGATTATATTCTGTTCATCATTTCCATGAACTTAAAAGGCACCAAATAACATTAACATAGTTAGAAGCACAATTTAATTGTATATTACCGATTAAGAACGGCAGCAGATTTGGCCCAAAGAAATAAAATGGCAAAGAGGAGGAGGAGAACACTAGAGACAAGAGACAGCAGAGTATAACCAGATCCCTCAAACACCACCCAAGCAGCAAAAGTCACCATCAATATCCCCAAAGTTACATTTTTTTGCTTCCAAAGAATCACATCTGCAACTGTTTAAACAAAGATATCAAACATACATAAAGTCCTTAGCAGCTAGCTTAATTAATCCATTAAAACAAGATCATCAAAGACAGGGTCCATCTCTTCATAAGTTCTTAGGTACATTATAAATTATATAAAGGCTGCTTAATAAACACCAGGGATAAATGCAAAATGAATTAACTATATATCGGATCATCAAGAATTAAAAAGAAGCAGCCATTAAATTTGACTTACCAAGACCTCCTCCAAGGATTTCATGGACAGTTCTTTGTCTGTCAAACAATCGATCACCCATTTAGAAGAAACTGAAATTAAAGATCTTTAAAACTCCAAAAACAGGGAGCTTTGGGATGATCTTCCGGAAAAAGAAAAGCAGTAGCAGCTTCTGTTATCCCTTATATCTAAAAAATTTATTTTTTTTATTTTTATTTTGGGTAATGTTTGGTGCGGATGAATATAATATAAGAGATGAGTATTGAAAAGGCGTGGTTGGTGAGTCAGATTCCAGCCTAAAAGCGTCATCCCACTCATAGCCCTTGTTTTTCTCCCATTTTCAAGACTTTCTCTTAGTTGATACATGTATAGCCCACGGTATAGTTTTCACCGTCGAATGTGAAGACATTCCTTCCTTCCATTCCATGCATTTGGATTTTCAATGGAGGGTATTCATGTCATTCAATGCGTTATCTTTGAATATCTGGCTGCTGCTTTCTTCAAGCATTTGATGGGCAATGCGCAATGCAACTGTTTGTAAATACCTCGTATCTTAACTAAGATAAACTTCGATAGGGTTTTTTCGGTATCCAAGGTATTTGGGTCAGCTGGTATGCACTTCAACTAGTCCCCTAAAATCTTGAAGTTAACAAACTGATAAAGCTCCAATGACTATCTATACCTTATTCGTATCTGATACCTTGTTCGATTCAATTCACGATTCCACGTGATTTTAGCCCAAACAAACCATCTCAGAATACTTTTAACCAAAAAACATAAATAGTTGCTCTCTGCAATAAGTCTAACTCCACCGGCTATTTATATTTGATGAAAGGCTGGGCGGCGCCACAATCTTGACTCAGTTATAACAATCCCACAAATACTAATATTTACTCATAAGTCAGATATCGTGTATCGTTCATATTCATGTTAAATGGTACCAAAATATTGTTGTAAGTTAACCAAGACCTGCTAACTCTGTAGCATTACTGGGAATTGGGATTTCGCTCCCAGTAGCAAAACAAGAAAGATCGCGTACAAGCAGAACCAATACAGAGACCGAGCATGTATGCCCGAGGAAAAACGTTCCGAAAAATCCAGATACTGAAAGCTAAAATGTCATATCTTGATGACACTTTTGACAACGTTATTAGACTTGGACAAAGTATAATGAACGTATATACTGCACAAACACAACAATTCGTGTTATGGAAAAGTGCATCAACATCTAACCCGATATGGATCATCATACTCAACCAGTAACTAAAAATTTTAAAAATATTATTCCTCCTGTGCAGGTTTTTCTTTGCTATCTTGATTTTCAATTTTTGGAGCACTAGTTTCGACGCTAGCCACTGCTGGGGAAGAATCTAAGAGGCTAGCAGCTATTGCAGCTTTCAAGTCCTCATCTTCAATCTCTGGAATCGCATCAGCCTCCCCAAAAGCAAGTAATGGATCAGATTGCTCTTCAGTCAGCTTGATTCTCTTCGGTCCCTCCCTTGAGTTGCAAGATTTAGTAATCCTCTCAGCATCCTCAGGCAAGAGCCATTGGCCGTAACCATTAGAAGTCTCGGAGGATGAAATGGGGCACTCCTTTGGGAAATTTCCCCTGACCAGGAAAATGCTCCAGCCAAAGCCTTTCAGAGAATCCAAATAGGCTGAGAGGTAAAACTTAGAGAGGTGCTCTGGGGCCGCATAAAGACTGTCAAAATTATACCACTCTCCATTCACTTTCCTGATACAGAACCAATGGTCATGCAAATGGCAAATAAATGCATTTTCTTGCTCCGGATCAATCTGGGCTGGCTCAGCAGCAGGGCAGTTAAGGGGAATGACTTGCAGATCCCACACCTCTAATGCCTTTTGCAAAACCTACAAAAACTCATTGACAAAATTAATTTGAAAGAATACTATGAATGTTACCAAGCAAGATCACCTGCAAAAGTAGCAAATGCTCATGCATGTAGATCAGCCAATAAGAATGGATAACTTTATCCACAAGATGATAATCATCATATGTTCAAAACATTTGATTATAACAAAGGCAACATGCACGCACATAGACTGGCAGATGAACAGAATCAAACAGCATAATCTGATTTCATAAACTAATGGCTCCATGAGTGTGTGTGTGTGTGTGTGTAAAGTGTGCAAATTCCATGAAGCCTTAACTACATGTGGTACATAGGAATTGATTACTAATTGATATTTTACACCTATATTGTTGAATTAAAGAGACAATTTACGTACTATATACAATACACCCAATGAGCTCCAGTATAAAGAAAAAAAATTTAACCAACTAATTAAATTTGTGTTTGTATGGGAGGAAAAATCCACACCACATTATATGAAAAGGAAAAGGAATACAGAAAACTAAAAGGTGCATGGAAGATAATTCAATGTCAATCTTCTTTCTTCCTAAGGACATTCAACTCAAATCTGATGAAATAAGCAACAAAGAAAAACCACGAACTATAAAGGACATATATGAAGAAAAATTAGCAAAACATTGTCGTAGTTTCACCAGTTCAGTACCATAGAGAAAGCACCAAAAGAAAAAAATCTTAGTTCTGAACTTGGTTTCATACCATACAATAATGCAGTTCACAGTTTCAAAAGAAATGCTCATCTCTTTAGATTTTTTAGGTACTATGGCTACATAATTCTTTTAATGATTTTCTGAGACTGGGGCAAACATTGCCAACACCAGTGAGAGGACGTACAAAGATCACTTAGCAACATGATTGAGAATTTACTTAACAGTGACAGTTGACAAATTGATGGCAGCTGGTATTCCTTCAAAGTGCATTTGATTATTTTAGTGCCAGATGGAGGAACTTTTCATAAACCATCACAAACACCACTAGCATCTATTAAAAGAAAAATCAAATGAGGAGTTTGAAACAGCAGTGAGAACAAATAGGTGTACGAGGAGACTGCTATAAAAATCATGGGGTAACTGATTTGACAAATTATATCGCTTATAAATCATCCAATACATAATGTGATACTTCAAATCAGTTGTCAAATCCATCAATTCTCCTGACCTCAGTCAAAATAGAGAAAGGCTGAGGAAAAAAATTGAAAATTGAACAATAATTTTCATACGTTAAACTAATGAAAATTATAGCCTCCATATTAATGACCATAAACCAACTCAGCATAGGTTATTTGATGCTTTTGAAAGATCAGAGCAGCCATCTCTTTTTTCCTAAGTTTCTGAGTGATATGATAACAAAACATACTTCCCATAAACAGACTAAAAGATAAAGAAGAATGAATAAGTTTCATTACAAACAGATAAATCAACTTATAGTTCACATTCTTTATGTATAAAGAAACAAATAAATATATACTTCAGCACAAATAAGATAAATGTCTAAATGACATGCAATGATTTTTTACCTCTCCTTTAAAAATACCAAACAAGTAGGAGTTGTATTAGCACTAGTTGAGTCCTTTATTAGCATAATCTTTAGTGCTTTATTACCAGTAACTTCATTTTTTAGGTTAAAGCATTGCATATAGGGTTTTTATTCTAAATAATATCATAATTCATTTGTTGGAAGTTTTAGAGATGTTTCCAGATTTGTGTAGATATTGTTTGAAGGCTTGACGGTAAATGGTTTTCCGAACCTACTTCTTTGTTAATTATCCAGGCCGGTGACAATTTTATTCTTATTCTTAACTGTATTTTAGATAATTAATTACGCATTTTGCACCATTACAGTGCAATAATTACTAATAGTTGACCTCGGTACTATTACGGAACTATTACATTTCTTGTTTCTTCATTCATCCAAATCCCAATATTGTTGATAGCCGGATTTATAAAATAAATACTGACTAAAAATTTTAGTTAAAATTATCAGAATGATGTACAGTTAATTTAAATAAATTACCTGAATACTGAAATCTCCGTCGAGAGAAACGTTATGAGACTCCTCGGTTAGAAAATCACCGGAGGAAGCGGAGACGCCGCCTTCAAGCATCATCTGGCGCTCCTTACCGTCGAGATCCGACGCCAGCGCCGCCAAATCAAATTCGGAGAAAAACGGACCCTGCAACACCGTGTTGACGCAATGTACAGCGCACAGCTTCGACTCTTGTACCTCGTGGTACAACATACCTCCGTTACTTGCCCCTTCCATTCGTGTTATTAATCAAAAAGCAACTCTTTTTCAGTATGAATGAATTTGTACAACCCTAAAATTGATGTAATTGGGTTTTAAGTTTTAACTGTGACACGTTGTATAAATATAGAGAGCGTTTTCGTTTGGATGAAGAGAAGAAGATCGAGGAAAAACCAAAAAGAATGAGAATATAATAATATCGGTTTTGTTTGGTTTGGCGTGACTTCAAGTGAACTGGTCATTGAGGACGTGTAATGAAGGTTTTACACTTGCCAACTTGCAAAGCACCGAAGGAAGCACTTTCTTAGAAGCACTGTCATAAATTCTTTAATCCACAATATTTTGTATATTATAAATTGCATTTCCAACATGAATACTAAAATTATTAATATGACTATTTTTTTTTATAACTGAAAACTAACTTTTAGAATTCCATTGAATACCTTACAAATCAATAAATCTGATACATCCGATAAGTCATGGACTTGAACAAATAAACCAAATGATACAATTGAAGAGATTTGCTTAGATAATATGATTATAACATGTTATAATGCTCATCTTCAATTATAAGTGAACGTTTAATTCCTGAATAAAAATGTGTGAATTTCAAATCAAACGAACTCAATTTGCTTCATGGGATCTTTGAACAAAATTTCTCAAATTGATTCATAAGAGTGAGTATGTTTTCACTTTTTTAAAACAAATAAGAAAATTAGTAAGATTCAACATCTTCGAGTACAAAATTGGAGCATTTTCCTTTGGTGGTAAATGTCACTATTTCTTTCCTCCTCTCATAGTAAAATCTCAGATAAGCAGATCATAATGGTTTCTACCACTGTACAGGAGCCTAACAACCTTCCTGGGTTTTCCTTTTATTGAACCTTTGTGAAACTCAGCTCCATACTCTGCAATTGGAATAAAACCAGAGCCCCCTCCACCCCTTTTATGCTGCATTTCGAATCAGCATAGAGAAACCTATTAGTAGATGAGGTAAATCCATGATATATTATAACTATCTGTTTAAGTGAGTTAAAACGGCATGCAACAGAGGAGAACATAATTGTGAAGATTTAGTTTCGGCTCTCTGATATAATATTCATCATCCTGATAGACTCAATAAACATGATGATGGAGACAAGACTGATACCAACTCAGCAAAAAGAAGGATGCAGCCCACCATACAAAATTTCCCATCTTATGTTCGACGCTTCTAACTACATCCATTTGGATGCAAAAGAAACAAATATAAAGACAATCTTATTCACTTATATGTCAAATTTCTGCAGTTCTAAAACCAATTCTGGCAGTTTGACTAAGAAATAAACCTACATATAGGCAGGTTAAACTGAAGCAATTGGAACTGGCAATCATATTTAGAAAATTTTCACATACCTCATGCTCCGGTATGTAAACAATGATGGGCTGACTACACAATTTTGACAACACCTGGTGCAGAATTCATAGTCAATGGTCATTATGCAATATTTCAGAAAGAAGTGCGCGTAATTGCCATGTGGACACATACAAATGCAAACCAAAGAGGAAGAGAGAGAGAAATACAGAGCAATCGGCTATATAATGTTAGTTAACTGAAAAATAAATAAAAGCTCCAATGGAGTTTTTTCTCCACTCACTCCACCAAAATAGATATCAAACTCAAATGCAGATAAGTGGCCTAGTACCCTTCTTCTTCATATCCGTGGCAAATAAGAAAAGTCACTCAGTGCATTCATGTCAACAGAAGATCTATGCATTTTAAAGAAAAACCACAAATAAGTAAACCCCAGAAGCTTCTGCAAGCATGATAATGTCATATTATTCAGCACTCAGTTGAACACACTAACTGGGATTGCCCCAAAGAGAACAAATGTATAAATTAACCTTGGAGCTAGAGCATATAACTATATCAGCAAGCCAAATGACACCTCTAGAAATTCAATCTTGCCAACTCACTGAATTATTCTTTTGTATTTTCTTCAAGATGGCAAAATATCAGCTATTGGCAATAAAATTATCAAGAAAATGATTATCATATTAAAAATAAAAGAATGAAGTGAAGAATTCAAGCATATGCATTAAATGGGTACTAACCAGTAGTTCTGACTCTCCTCCCCAGAAATCAGATCTGTCAATGCGCTGGCAGTAACTACAGACAGAATTAAGAATATGATCAATAGAAGCAAAACATGAAAACTTACTAAAGCATAATTCAGAATACCAAGAAAGAGAATTTCCATGATAAGTGATTAGAATAAAGACCTACCGTTTCAAGGACTCATCAACCGTAATTGCAATTAATGCCTCTTCATACTGCCGGCGTTCACTACCATTATCACATATAACCTCCTTTACAGCCATTCGTAATTCATCTGCACTTTTATAAATGTAAGTAAAACCACCCACCTAATACTTAAAGCAATAATATTATCTGATATCTATGAAAAAAAAACAAAAAGAAAAAACAAAAGACATTATCATTCTGATGCCACCTAGTTTTAATACATAAAGAGCTTAACAGTTAAGCCCGAGAAAAAGTCCTTGCTCTTTATATTTTACACAAGCTTCGAATTAAAGAAAAACAGCTAAAGTTGCAACATTTTTCATTCGGAGACATACATTATACACTTAAAAAGAAGATATATAAAACAAATAATTCATCCATGGTGATCTCATTAATGCTAAATAGAAGCTGCCTAGCCACCAACTCGTATTTCCATTTCCAAAAATTGCAAAATAGAAGATCCATAGCGTCATTGTAAAAGATCTGATAGGATCAAATTTATACTCATAAATGCTTAAAATTCACAAGGAGCAAAATAAAAATGGATAAATGAACATACCCGCATTATCTCTCTCTTGGCTTGAGTTAAGAGGGATACCCTTGTTTAAAGCCATCCCTTTAACCTAAGTCACCAATCAGAATTTAGTTCATCAGAAAACAAAGACATACTGCAGAGGTTGGTTAAAAAGTACTGCAATTTAAATTGAAAGTCTATATTTCATTAGCCAGCCCAATCTAATTAAAAAAAAAAAAACAGAAAGAGGAAGAAACTAGGCGATACCAATGCTCTAAATAGACAGCGCCCATCCCCAGTAACCTTTTGAACTGAATAACGCTCAACTTTTTTCATTGCTGGACCTCCTCCTCTAATAAACAAAATAAGCGCAGATGTCACAAATGATAAAAGAATTAGGCTTAAGAGGTTGAACTCCATTCCAAAATTAACTGAAACAAAACTGGAAGGCAAAAGGCCGGAAGGGTTTAGTGTTTATCAATATCTCAAAGAATAAGAAATTTTTAACCATAAATAAAACTTACAGTGGTGGTCCGATTCTAGCAAAGAATAAACGGCTGATGTCTCTATGGAACGCCATGGTATATGTTTTTTGGGAGTTAGGATTTGAAATTGAAGCAACAGGCGTAGAGACAAGCTCGAACTTAGCAGTTCCATTTCTCAGCTGCTCAAGAAAATTCTCTGCATATACAAAAAAATAAAAATAAAAAAAAAAAATTTAAAGTGTAAATAGAGAGAAACAAGCCGATAGAGTTACAAGCAATCTTAAAATGATGGTCTATTTCTGTTTGGTATCTAAGAGAATGAATAAAACAAATAAGGAGAGAAAATCCGTGAACAAAATACAAAATTGCATTACGGTTTACAGGTTTGTCCGCCATGAATAGCTACGAGACGAGAGAGAAGTAAAGGAAGACTGAAGTGAAAAAAAAAGGAGAAATCAGACCGCAGTGCTGGAGATAAGACCCATAAGTAATGGCACGTGTATATTGAATCGACGTCGTTTTGACTGAAATACTTAAAATATTTATCTCTTCGATGTGATCAGCACAAATCTTGGTAACATTTTCTAACCTTTGTTATAGTTTTGAAACTTTTTGTATTTACCCTGAAGAATTGTTTAATTATCTAAACTTGACATCTAACCTTCAATTTTTTTTTTTTTTAACTTGAGGGGTAGTTGTTGCAATTAACCCGTTAAAAAAAATTCAAATTTTTGATAAGATTAACACATTGAAAATTATGTTTATTTTTTAAACAAGGTGAATTAATATAAGTGAAAGTTTTTGGATTCTAGAAAGTTTAGCTTCTGAATTGTGATTAATGTCACATGTCAACATTTTCATAAAAAAATTAGGTAGACTTAAAAGGAGAATAGCCGAAGAAGGTGGTTAGAAAGAAAAACATGTAAGATTGTATTACATGATCATTACTGATTAATTCTCGTAAATATAGTTGATTCTTATAAGTGATAATTTTTTTTAATACCATGACCGAGTTAAGGCCCAGGTCGGGTTTAAAAACATTGCTTTCAACATGTACTACATATAAACGTCCAGTATTTACATCACCATGTTCCCACCCAAGAAGCTTGAAATGAGCTTTAAGGGAATCCTAATAAAAGTGAGTAGATAATGAGCCTTACGCTGTTAGGAAATTGATTCTGCCTTAGGACATCTCCAACCCAATGCCAAAACATTAAAATTGTGTGAAAAATGTGCTCTAGCCCAACGTCAAACATTACACCAAATTGGTGTAAGTGAACAGTATCACGCCAAATTTGGCGTGATACTGTTCACTTACATCAATTTGGTGTGGCACTGTTCATATACTATAAAATATATTTTATTTTCTTATTTTTTTTATTTTTATTTATGTTAATTTGATTATTATTTATAATAATAAATTTAATAAATTCATAATAATTATATAATTCAAAAAATGATGAAAAAAAAATGATCGTAATGTTGATGCATTGATTGAGAATCAGATGAAAACGCCAATTCCTAAAGTTGAAATTGTCATAGATGAAAATGTCCGATTTCAACATTTTCTTGCTCGACATAGACAAATCAAGGATACAGAAGCTCACCATGCTCTTTGAAATGTATTAATTGATAATTTGTGGGAAGAATATACTAATTCGGAAAATTAAATTACTATCAATATGAAATTTTATTTTTGTGTTGTTATTGTTTTTTTTTTTTTTGTGACATTTTATATTAGATATAATGTTTTTCTATATTAAATGTAATGTTTATTTGATTAAATAAATGCTTGATTTTATTAAATTAGTATAATTTTCAAAGTAATTATTATATCATTCTCAATATTTAATTAATATATACAAAAATAAATAGTGAAATAGATTAATTGTTGACTATTAATATAAAGAAAAAGAAAAAGAATATTATAATGTAATATTTGGTTCAATAGATTGGAGATGTAATAGTGAAATACACCAAAAATCATACTAATTTGGCGTGAAACTTGCATAAATTTGGTGTTTGTGGTTGGAGATGGTCTTAAAGAAGAATAGACAAGAGTCGGAGCCATTAACAAGACATGCATATTCTTCCTACAAAATCTTGCAAATACAAATAAATACAAGACATATCTTAAGCATACGAGGAGATGTGTTGACAGACCCTTCTGTTGGCTCCTGTTGATGTAAATACTCACAAATTTGATTGGAGATAAAAGAATTTCAATCCATTTCCCCTTGATATTTCCAGACTTCCAACCCAAACTTAGTCTAAGCAACCCATATTAGCCCAAATACAATTATTGAAATCCTAAAAACCAAGGTTTTAAAACCCGACCCAAGGGGCAATCTGGCCAAACCATCGGGTTACGAGTCGAATGGTCCGACTGACGGGTTGGACCGTGACATTAGCATGATGACATCATGCTGATGTAAAAAAAACAAAATTTTTTTAAATGCAGATTTTAATTTTTAATAGGCTTTTTTATTTATTTTTCTTCTCTATTGGTGTTGGTTTTGTTGAATAAAAATAAGAAAGAGAAAAGAGAAAAGTTGAAAAGTGTTATTTTTAATTATTTGTTTAATATTCCACTGTAACAACCCGGGTTATACTTGTTGGACTGATGATTCATTGGAAAAAAACCGGTTTAATTGTGGGTGAAAGTGGGTCAATTATTATTTCCGATTTTTAACATTAATCGACCTGGTCTAGCCACCAGTTCTCGGTCGAACCGATTCAACCGGCTAGGCCAGACCGAGTTTTAAAACCATCCTAAAAACTGACATCAATAATATTTTTGTAAGGAATTCAATGATTCTTGAAAATTAATTAAAATATGTATAAACTAGTCTGTATAGTTGGATCATGAAAAAAAACAATATATATATTGATCTTAAATCAATTCAAGGGCATATGAGGCCAAATGTGTTGGGAGAGAAAAGGGCGAGAAAAATAGTGGTTTTAGCACGTCTACACCACAATGATTAATCACACAAAAGCTCGAAGTCAAAAGTTGCCGGATCAGGAAAACACAATGACAGCACGTGATAATCCCTAACATGCAGTAGCGTCTTTATTTTCCTTTAATCGAACCAACTAAAATAATTCGTGTAGTTGTAGATTTGACTACGTTGGGGAGCCAATAAAAACAATGGGTTAGCCACCTAACAACTAATTAGTACAACTACTCTAAATATACGCTCTTAAAACTTTTCACGAAATTTCCCCAACACTATCACGTTCCCAACAATTTGTACAAACTCTAACCCTGGTCCATTATCGTTCAATCATAATACCGGTACAAAGACTATAATATATCATTTAACTCTTTATATTTAGATCAAATTGTAGAAGTAAATGTAGCTGAGTTTTAGTTAAAGTCAAAGAAAGTCTGAAGAAATAGTTTGGTCAGAGTTTGGAGAATGGAAATAGGAAGTGGGAATTTATTTGGAAGTGAGCGTTGTAGGATGGATCGATGGAGTCGAGCCTCGAAGGTATCGAGACAGTAACACGCGCTATCAAGGGTGAAGGGTCTACACGTGCCAGATAACGAGGGTTTGCAAATAAAATGTTAAGTTCAACGGCCAAACCGAAAAAAGCTGGCTCATTATAAGCAATAGGTCCATCACTTCTCATAAGAAGTATCGACACGCCACACGCACATACATAACACCTATTTCTCTCTCTCTCTCTCTCCCCCAAGCAAAATTTTTATTCTTTATATTTTCTTGACGATCTCCACGATGTTCTGATCGTGACTCTCATTGCCTTAATTATAATCTCCATTTCGCTTCTCGTGTCTCTCTTCATAACTTCTAATTCCTCTTTCCTTGAAGATCTCTAATTCTCCGCGCTTTTTCTGGTAATTCTTTTCTCTATATTTCAGCTCATTATCTCTTTAATTTATGCTTCAGTTTTGTTAATTGTTTGATTTGTGAGAAATTAATTTGAGTTCTATGTTTGAGTGGTGAAGTAAAGCTCAGCTAAACTGGATAGTTGTAGTGGTAGTAGGAGTGGTTTTGTTACGCTACTTTCTTTGTTCGTTGAACTGGATTTTTTTTTTTTTTTTGTGATTTTTGTTACAGATTTAATTTAATTGTAGATATTTCAGAGGTTTTGGGATCTAATTGGTGAGAGTTTAGAGGGATTGGCTTGTGGATTTGGAGAATGGCGAGTATTTCTCATTCTTCAGTTGCATTTACTGGAGCTTCAGCTTCGGATCTTTTTCGGAGCTCCAGAAACGGTGTGAATGGTGTTCCTTTGAAAGTGTTAGGTAGGGCGCGGTTTAGTGTGAATCAGAGTGGATTAGCTGTGACTGCAAAGCTTAGGAAGGTGAAGAAGCATGAGTATCCATGGCCTGATGATGCTGATCCGAATGTGAAAGGTGGTGTACTCTCTCATCTTTCGCCTTTTAAGCCGTTGAAGGAGAAGCCAAAGCCTGTAACTTTGGATTTCGAGAAACCACTTGTTCAGCTAGAAAAGAAGATCATCGATGTAACTGAACTTTTTATGATGATTGTCATTGTTTATGTAGGGAGAATGTGTAGTGGTTTGATTAAGTTTTATGTTTTGTTGGTTGCAGGTGAGGAAGATGGCAAATGAAACTGGTTTGGACTTCACTGATCAGATTATATCTTTGGAGAATAAGTATCAACAGGTTTGACGAATAATATATAATTGGCATTTGCATTGTAGTTTAAGCGTAATGAAGCTAAGTATTGCACCCAGTAATTCTATTAATTGTATTACCAGTTGAGACTGTCTTGTCTGCCTTTGTTGAAAACCTTACATTGATTTCTTCATTTGTTGTTCATGGATTACAAGTTAGATTAATTAGAATATTAGTTAATGAAAAATGGTACCGAGGAAATTAGTGAATATAAAAACCTACAATCTGGCACAAGGATATGGGTTTATATGGTTCACTGATAATTGATTCATTTGACTGTTGTTCCACAAACCAACATTTTAAGCTTTCGACTTAAGGTTGTGCCCATTCTGTAGAAAGGTCTAATTGAAAAACTCGTCTGATGTTATTCTTCAGAACAGAAATATCCGCTCCTCTTCGTGTAAGAGTTTGCCTTTAAGCCTTGATACTTGAGGTTTTAAAGGTAGGAACATATTCACAAATTGATGAGTCAGGAAAATCTGAAGCCAAATACTATGTATAGATCCTTAGAGATTGTAGGGGGAGAAAAAAAGTCTTATTCTTTGCTCTTAGCCATTAAATTCATGGAAAAGAATGATGCAAATTTTTTCTTCTCATCAGTGGATGGGAAGTGAGGGTATTTATCAATATTAGCTTACATACATTTTTTTTTCCTATTTATTGATGCTATATTGTAGAACATGTTTCTTTTTGCTTGCAAAATATGACAATGTATAATGAAGACACCATACATAATAAGCAAGGATTATTTATGCATGTGTATAATTATTTTGTTGCAAAATTGCTGGACAAAAAG